TAGGTCGCTTGATTTGATTAGATGAGTGAGAGATGAGATTTTCCCACGCTGATACGAATAGGACTCACGTCGAGATTACATTACACCTGGTATCTCTTAGAAACGTACAGCTTATCCTATGTGATATGCAGTTTCGATCTCGCATAGGTCTCATCGGCACCCCCAGCTTGCTTCAATACCGGGTCGTAAGTATCATGGCGACATTACGCCTCCACTACATATCTAGGAATGGCATCAGATCCTAGGGCAGATGAGACATTGATGGCAAGCTAAGTCTCGCCTAAATAGAATGTATAGAGGGATTATTGATAAGCAAACTTGTTAGCTACTACAATAAACGAGACTACTTGATTTTGCTATGAGTAGCTTCATTTATACACTCAATTGCGCGATGAAACCAAAAAGACCGTAAGATTATTCTAAACTCAAATGGCGTTTCCACGCCTCGGTACGATAATATGGAAGTCTAACTTGACACAAGACACTTTTGTTTCAACTATGCTCATGTCTCATCTCCCAAGTATATTTGCTCGTAAATGCCAATTAACAAAGCCATATTCTTATCTCTTTTATTCTATTTTTATCCTCACTTCGTCTCATGTTCTTTTAAACTCATCACCAAATACGAGCCGCATATTTCCTTTAATTTTATGACTTAATCGGTCCATTTATTTAAACTTTAATGAATAGGATAGGCAGGCATAAATATTTAGTGTAAGCTGACTGGAAAGATAGACTAATGGAGATATAACTGAATTATGAGAGGGCGAAGCACCTTAATAAATGGAAAAACGAAGAAAACAAAAAGAAGTAAATCACCGGATAGCTAAATAAGCTAGCAAATAAGCAATAATATATTGGCAAAGTAAGATAGCTAGAAGGAAAAAATGAAATAGGAGACATAAAATCCTGTATCATGGGGTGATAACCCTGGAATTGTGTGCATACTCATGAATAGAGGCGCAATGCGAGATAGCAGCAAAGTAAGTGGAAAGAAATGATGAATGAGAGCTGGAAGAAATAAAAGGCTAAAATTAGGATATGCAGTTTGGCAGATGGATTGGCAAATCCAAAAGTGAATGTGACTAAAATAAACTGTCAAACTATGTACAAGTGGAAATAACTGAAGAAAGACAGATATATTAGTAATATACCTCGTTGGGCTATACAAGGTAATGGGCAGATGCGTAGAAATGGGTGAACTGAACTATGACCCAAGACTATCGTTGAAAGCATCTAACTGAAGGGCTGAGTCATAGTCATCATATGACTTTGCTGTCGTCACCTGAAATTGCCGGCAAACGCCAGAGACTGTGATAGGCCGGAAGGCCGCTCGGACTGGCCCCGAGTGCTCTGTACAGGTTCTGGTTCAGCAAGTGGCAGCAGCGGCTGGTGCTGAAATGCAAATTGGGGTCGGGTTTGAGGTGGGATGACACTAGTACAGAGTAGGATTTGAAAAGAGTTGTAAACTTGGATAGGGCCACTGTGTATGGCTGAGATGGAAGAGGGTGCTTTTATGTCATTCAGTCACTCAGTGACGGACGGGTCATGCATTTGGGTGGCCTTGTTTCAGATTTGTCCGTGTGTGTGTGCTTGTTACAGGTTTGGTTTGCAGTTGGCCGCCTCTTATTACATGCAGCCTTGGCAACCGCCTCTTTTAAACGAGAGGGTAATTAACTCGCCGAGTTTCGGCAGTTTCTCTCGTAAATTAACCCGCCTTAAAGGATGACCTACACTAGTCTCCTCGAGACTTTCCGATAGACTTGCGAACTGCAGGAATGTGCACACAGAACAGCACAACGCATTTTCCTACCCTCATCCATCTTCGCAAATCGTATACCTTGGCTTGGATAGACACACACCTATGAACACATATGTACATGCTTGTGTCGAGAAGGTAAGGTAAAAAGTTAATTAGGCTTTGTCTTTTTTATCAGTCCACTAGACCTTTAAGATATCCCAACAAGGCTAGCAATTGGGAATTTGTGGTGGGACAGAAGAAAAAATTATGCTGAAGCTTCAAAGCTTCAGGTGGAAGGCCGATTCAACAATTGCTGGGCTTCACACGCCATTGTTACCGTGGGCCTAAAGTATTGATTGGACAGGGCAAACTTATCCTGGACTTGGTTACTCCTTAGCTGGTTTTGTGTTGGCGGCCCAAGATGACATTATTTTGGTCTTTGTGGAGGGAAGGGGAGATGTTCTTTTTGAGCGGGCCAGGGCCCTATCAGTGCAGGTTAAAAGGAAGGTACACGGAGCTTGGGTTCATCATTGCAATAGTTCACATTTATCAGTATTCGGTACAAATCTAAGTAAACAAAGTGGTCCAACTAATTATGTTTTAATTGTCTTCTTTCTTGCAAGTGACTTGCTCTGAAACTTCCTACCAGACTGAAGGTATTCTTACTTTTTCGTATATAACGAGAGTTTCGAGATTACCAGTATTCTTACTCATCTAATTTCTATACCATCAGCAAATACATACTAACATTTTTAGCCCCTCCAGGTCGAATACAGTGATGAAAAGGTGCTAGATGATGTTGGAATACCTTTCATTTCATTTGGAGAGGCGAGTGGAAGGGATTCTTAAATTGGTTCCACCGGCGGCAGTGGAGGGAGGGGGATCGCCTTGGAGCTGAGGTTGTAGATTTGTGCGAATAGATCCTCGGCGCACCGCCCTAAGATCCCGATGAATCCTTGCTGAGCCTTCGTCCGTCATGCGACGGAAATCGTCCGAGCGGAACAACAAGCTTAACGGTTGTCTCCTTGACGAGTTCGTAGCTTGGTGCGGTGAATGACAGCACTCACTGATGATACCGACTATGATGCCGGCGAAACGTTTGAGAATGTACCAAGTATGAGGCTGGGAATCATGACAACTACTATGGCAGACGTCTTCGGACTTGGTGCATTCTACATAGTCGCCCTGAACACAAGACCAAGTTGCGACAACGAGGTCAACCCACTTCTATACATCGAAAGGAGACTGCGACCATACCAGAGGACACAACATCTTGGTCTCCATATCTTCAAGCTTAACGACCGGCTTCAGACCAACTTCCTTTTCCTATTCCAATTTGTTCCATTTATGCATCTCATGTTTTGGTTGAATGTCCTATGCTTTGCTGCTATGTTTGCTCATGAGTTAAGTGAAGTGTCTACAAATGGAGCGTGAAATGGGCGCAATTGAAACCGAACAGCTGCGTCCTCCCCTTAAAAACGTATGCCTATGATCCTACAATGTTACCGCATGTAATTGCATCCAATTGCATGCGTGCTGATTAGGAGAGACCTGTAGAAACATACATAAGAGGTTATCCGAACACAAAACAGCCTGCAAGGGTATGTGGTTCCCAAAATCGGAGTTGGCTTTAAGCACAGGACACCAGATGGATTGATCTAAGGCCAAGCGATTAGTTGGAAATGGAGACTATACCAAACAGTAAGCGAAAGATTAGGCAAGCGATAGAAAGCAACAACTCTGAATAGAAGAAATGAGTGCAGGAATTTAAGCGGAAACTACTTGTGGCTATTGGATAGATTTAGAGAGAGAAAGAGAGAGAGAGGGGGGGTAGGGGGATGAGAAGTACCACCGAGCAAGAGAGGGAGGCTTGATTAGGCTGGAATCTGCTTTCAACTGTCACATCACAATTATTGCAAGAGCAATGCACTCACACAACACGAGTGCAATGGGAGGCAATTCATACGCTAACATTGCAGGATCACAGGCATTCGTGTTTTAGGGGAGGATGCAGCTGTTCGGTTTCAATTGCATCCATTTCACACTTCATATGTAGCCACTTCACGTCATCCGCAGCCACTTACCTCAACTTATGAGCAAATATGGAAGCAAAGCATAGGATATCCAACCAAAACTTGAGATGCGTGAGTGGACCAAATTGTAATTTAAGAAAGACGAAAGCTCAGCAGGTGTTCCTCGAGGTCGCAGGGCGGTGCGCCGAGGACCAATTCACACAAATCTACAAACAAAGCTCCAAGACAACTCCCCACAGCCTCCGGTGGAACCAACTTACCAATCCCTTCCACTTGCCTCTTCAAACCAAATAAAAGGTACTCCAACATGAATCGATAAAGGGGTTCTTCGAAACCCAGTTCTTCTTCATACCCGCTAGATGAAGTTTCCCACAAAGGTAGGAATAGGCATCCTAAGATTAGGAAATTTCACCAAATCTCGCAATTCTAAAAGTATTCTCATTCAGAGTGGATTGCAGGTTCGACCCTTTCTGCGTCTTTCCAATGCCCCAAACTGGACTTGAATGCGGATATTAGAGCGTATAATTTCGACAAGTCGCAACTAAAATAGACTGCCACGAGTGTCACTAGGTCCCAGTACAGGCGAGAATTTCAAGTCAAGCCAGGCTTCTATAATATCCTATTTATGATATGACTTTAGATAGGGCAATACTGCATTTTGACATTACGACCGAAACATATGCGAAGAAAAGTTGGGTTTAGAGCAATCTCCTGTTTCACAATTG